CTCCTCCGCACCCCCCTCCCTTCCCACCCCTCTGCTCATAATTCCCCACTTCTCTCTCTCCTTCCCCCTCCCTCCCTCCCTCACGATATTCTCCTCCGCCATACCTGAGCGAGGCGGTTTACCCTGGTGCGACCCCCAGCATTGCCTCAGTACAGCAGACATCTTTCGTTCGGCGCGGACCGAAAAATACCGGGAAATTGGCACTGCTTACCACTACTACTTCGTCGTTTCTGTTCTGGCTTAGAGAGGAAAGCCGAACTGTTGCAGCAATACCATAATTTGGAAATAATTGCCGCGATAGTAGCTACCAAGGAGAGGAAGTGTACATATATTTTTGTTGATTATACCTCTAAGCCAACCAAGCCTTTGTCACGACTGGACGATTGTTTGATAAGGTGAGGCCTTCTCTTTGACCCCTCTGCGAACTCAAGCACGTACGCACAGAGGATCTTACGGGGGAAAGACGAGAAAAAAGGCTGAAGTTTCAGTCTTTTTTCGACGTGAGTTCCCCCAACTCCTGACTTGACGACTCACTGCTTCAGGGGTCTGGACGTACGGATGTTGTGTGTTGTTCGCATGCGAAGGACGGAGGAGAGAAGGCAGACTTGGACGAGAGAATTAAACCCCAGATCTCGATTACGCCAGGTAAGCTTCCTACCATTTGCATGTCGTGTAGCATACAGTTGGCAAGTATACATTTGATATGACTCACTGAGCACGTGCGCTTATTCGTTCATTCTTGGACGTGAAGTATTGTTTTATCGGGCGGTTGGTGGGCGCTCTAGTATGGTTTGCTTCTTCTATCCCTATATTTACTGCCGTCCATTGCTACTTTCCTTCTTTATTATGTGTGTTACTCTCTTGCAACTCTTATCTTTTGCATTTATTAAAGTGTTGCAAGTGCCGTAAAGTCTACATCACACCAAATTGTTTCCATCATTTGCCAAGCAGGTTTAGGCACACCTCTTGCTCAGTTGGTATCATTTTGGGTTTCGGAGCAGATGACTCTGGTTCGAATCACTTATGGGATGTTCTAAAATTGGGTTGTTTTGGGGACGTTTTTAAGACTCTCCACCCGTATTGCTCAGTCCTATCGGAGATGGACGTTAACCTCGGAGGTCCCAACTCTTAAATAACCTTTACACAGTTGAAAGAGGCATTAACACAAAAGGATGGCCAGTTGACAAAAAGCAGGTTGGGAAACAATCCATGTGACCGACCAAATCAAGAATCGTTTATTTCTTGTTTTACCGAGGGCATATGCACGTCTGTGGTACAAGGCTTAGGCTCTTTGCATTGCCACCGATAGAAGTGAGTTCGATTCCCGTGAGGGGAATGCCATCATCATTGACTTTTTTTCTCACTCATGACCAGTTTATAGGCCACCGACAAACACTCTCCACGTTTCTCTTTCATGGGCTAGGTTCTTCACATTTTCCCATATCTTTCCATTTTTTGGGTACATCTCTGTATAATATAAAAATCCATTTCGCATTCGTATCCATTCTTGTTTCATTATGAAATATTCTAACTCTCTTCAGCTGAAAGATGAGATGTTTTGAAAAGAACTAATTAAAGCTTGATTCCAATAAGAGTCGTGCCTACTTCATCTGTCAAGGTGCGGCCCAGGCTAATAGGCGTTGTGTTGTCCGATCATATTATATACGCCAGATTCTCTCGCTCATGAAGTCTGGAGTTAAAAGATATTCCATCTAATTGACAACCTGGTAAAAGGGTAAGAGGGAAAGAGGTGGATATGTCAGGACGGGG